TTTATCTCGGTACACACGAAGTGTGTCTTGTGACGCGCGCGCGCACAGCGTCGGGCAATAATGTTTCATTATTGCGATGCGCCGCCGCGATTCCCCGGCCCGATGTATCTGGCCCTTATCAAACCGCCGGGGCAATTTGTCCGTCTCTCGCGCGCTATCTAAATGTCTAATTAATAATAATTTAATTACACATTATGCCCGTTCGGCTCGAGTGTCAGAAGAAGGGGGAGGGGGAGAAGGAGCCTCGGAGTCGGATTAATGATTTGTAAGATTTAATTCTTCCGTAATTTATGTGCGAAGGGAAACTAATTAAGGGAGAATTCTATCTATACATCAGGAGCGGAATACGCTCCTCGATTAATTGTATAAGCAGCGAAACCCTCCCACTCCTTCTCGCCCTCCCTCTCTCTCTCCGTTCTCTCTCGTTGCCTCGTCATTTTTGCGAATTCGATCCCGTCCTGTCGGGGATAACGCGCGCTCGTTCGCCTTTAGACCGAAAAATAATACATTAAGCGGGAAAGCGCGGCGCGGATATATTGAAAGCTGTAATAGAGAGAGGGCGGGAACAAGAGCGGCTCGTAACAATCGATAGAATAGTGTCCTATCCTGCTTCGCGCAGCAGGCCGCTTATCAGGCCCAAATTGGCGCCTTCTTTGCCATGCTAATGCTGCCGGGTAGCTCGATACTTGAGAAATCGATATGTACGCGCGGGTAACAGGGACGCAGCCTCCTGTCCGAACGGCCGTCCTGTCGGGGTATCGTCTGGTCAATGAGACGAACGGACACTTCAAAGTAGACATCCGCGTGTTCAGATTCTTCCCCGAAAGCTGCTACCGCCGGCTGAAAAAATGTCTGATCTGAAGAGTCGTGGAAAAAATCGCCTTTCGAACGGATGCGGATCCGTAATTGGCGGCGAGAAGCGTTTCCCAGCCTTCGTATGCATCACTCGGCCTCACACACGGCGTGAATGATCGCGGCATTAAATACGCGGATGCGTGTGCGAGACGCAAATTAAAAAATAAATTCTTCCTAGGAGCGAGATAAAAATCGGCGAAATTAGTCAACTCGGGCGTGAAGGTGTAAATTATGCAAATTGATCCGCTGCCATGAGGGATGCGGCCGCGTGTTACGCGACGCTTAATTATGTTGCGTATATAACAGGCTCGTTCTGGAATATTACGGGAACACCATCGTGACGGAACATTAATTCCGACGATACCTAATTAATACACAAGCATTGAGATAAAATAAAAATGAAGATGGGGACACGAGTACGTAAGTCAGTAAGGATTAAACAATCGTTCGCGAGGACACCAGCGCGAATTCGCGCGCGTCGACGAGACGCTGAATGCGCTCCTGGGGAAGGATGCATCACCTCGTTCCACGAGAGCGAGCTGCATCCTCTCGACGAATGAGAGTAGCCGCTTACGAATTAGCGAGCGCAGCAAGTCCCGGCTAACTTACAGGGTGTACCTAAGCGGAGGCCTTAGGGATACTAACGAGCGCGTGGACGCTCGTTAAGGCCGGAGAATGCGGGGTAGCCGGCGTTAACGAAATTTACGAAGCCGACAGGCTGTAACGAGTTCGAGTTGCAGCAAGCGAGGAAGGATATCGCGATAATCGAGAGAGAGAGAGAGAGGAGAGATTCTTAATCCCGGGATCGCGCCTATTACGTCGCTGCTGTATTCTTTTTTCCATCATAAACGTCCATTCCGCTGAAACTACCCTTCGCATGCGTCTTTAACTTTAAACGAACGTCATCCCTCCTCGTCGATGTTGTCGAAAACGACGACGATATGTTTTTCTGAAACGGTTCCGTGATTTCCCGAGGAAATGAAGGAGCAACGACGTGAAGAACGAAGCGAAACCGCGAAGGGACGGCGGAACGAAGAACAGCCGTAGACGACGCGCGAGGTTACCTCGACGATTGTGGGAATTTCACTTTTCGTACACGCGAGTTACCTCGCCTCCGAGTGATCCGCGCATATCGCGAGCCGAAGGGTCTATTTTGAGCGCGCGGATGAGAAAAGCAGCGCGCGAACGAACCTATCTCATTCCGTGACGAGAATAACTGCAATTTCATTGTAGTAACTAACACGAACGGTGTAATGTAACGTGAGTGAATAATTGGACGGGGAAGAATTTGCAAACTTCGCGAAGGCACGGCTCGGGCTTCTCATTCGCCGTTCTCGGCGAGTGTCGGATTCGCGTTCAAGTTTACGAGGTGTTAACACGCCGCTGACAATGCGTCATTACGGTGGCCGAGCTTTGATGGCTTCTGACGGTGTATATGTACGCACGCCGGTGCGTATGTCTGTGTGCGTTACGTGCGCATCCTGCGGTGAAATTCTATTTAAAATGTCAATCGGAAAGTACGCGCACACATTAAAACGTAGCATGCAGCGAAGCCGCAGAAACGGACTCGAAATTTCCTGGGAGAGCGAGATACACCCAGGAGAAAGAAAGACGGCGGGAAAGAGCGCGTCCCCGATGCTGAAACGTCTGCGGCCGACAACTGGTTCTCATCGGAGTAATAGAATTCACGCGGATTATATGTTGAGTCCTTTCAGTATACCTCACCGCATATGCTGACTGAAGTCTCAAGTTTCTATGGATCACGCGAAGAGAGAGAGAGAGAGAGAGACGACAGAAATCCTGACACGAGACGTGCGCAAAATCAATAATGCGTGTTCCCATGGCGCAAATCTAAGCGAATATAAATGAAGGAAAGCGAATAATTTTTCGAGATATCACTATCGATTATGTATTTTCGCCGGAATGCGCTTTTTACGTCGGTATCTACACCATTTTCCAGCGTCTGTTCCAGCGGATCGCGCTAATTGAATTGGGGATCCGTTTTAGCTGCCGATGGCCTCTTTTACCGCCGGTGCTTCGTCTTCGTTCTCGAGCGAGAAGTACGAAGATCTAACAATGAAATTCAACGATTCGCTCGCCCCGGAATCACGTTGACGCGAGCTCCTCGCGCTGGTCGGGCGAAAAATGAATACATGATTCACGAGCGGCGCGCACGCCAACCTCGGCGGCGGAGCGCAGGCGAATCGATAGACGATTAATTCCATCACCGCCGATGATGATTCGCGGTCTTCATCCGCTTTACATTTTCATGTCACGCGAGAGCTTCTCCTTTCGACTGCTCTTATTTAGTCCTCCCCCCCCCCCCCCCCCA